AGCAGGGAGCCCGATGCGGGACTCGATCCCAGGACCCTAGGATCATGACCTGAGCTGAAGGCAGTCGCTTAACCAACTGAGCCACCCAGGCGCCCTAGTTCTGTCTTTAGTAGAGATTCCAGGATGGGGCTTTCCGGAATCACCTTATTTTAATTGAACTCACTCATTCATTCATCTACAGTTTGTCTTCTTGCAAAGAAGAAGAACTTAAGGTGGCTTAGAAAGTTGTGAAAACAAATAGCAAGACAAAATATAATATATATAAGAAAGATGAAGCAAAGGGAATATAAGGGGAGGCAAGTAAAATAGAGCCAAGAATGAGGGGTCACAAAAAATGCATACCATGAAATTCTATACACTTGCTAATAAGGTCAAAAAACAATATTTACTTTAAGCTCCCTGACAACTAACAAAAAGATGAGAATGTCATCAGTGGCAACAGTCTTTGCAGTGTTCACAGGCAAAAACAGCCTTGTTTTTAGGAAAATCACTACTCTTCCTGAAGATAAGACTTGACATAAATTTCTGCTGCGCTTTCTCTGATTGCAAATCTTGTGAGCAATGTCACCTTCAACAGCATCCTCCTTATGGTAAGCATGGAGATAAATTTTGAAGGGCTGTTTCTTACAGTGCCTCTAATGAAAGCTGAAAACATTACAGCCATACACAGTTCAGTAAAAGCAAATTTTTATTATTGGGGCACCTGGGTGGCTCAGTCGGTGAAGCGTCTGCCTTCAGCTCAGTTCATGATCCCGGGGTCCCGGGTTTGAGCCCCGCATCAGGCTCTCTGCTCAGCGGGGAGCCTGCTTCTCCCTCTCCCACTCCCCCTGCTTGTATTCCCTCTCTTGCTGTCTCTCTGTCAAATAAATAAATAAAATCTTAAAAAAAAAAATTTTTATTTATTTATTTATTTGGGGGGGAGGGGCAGAGGAAGAGGGCGGGAGAGAATCTCAAGCAGATTGCACTGCCGCCGGAGCCCACTGTGGGGCTCTACGCCACAACATCGAGATCATGACCTGAGCTGAAATCAAGAGCTGGATCCTTAACCGACTGAGCCCCTAGGCGCCCCATGCCGGGCACCTTTTATTAAGTATTTACTTTTGCCTTGCAATACACCTAGTAATTTGCATCATTATCTTATTTATTATCACACCTTTCTAAGAAGTAGCTGTTACTATTGCCCATCTAACACCCTTGCTTAAAAACCTACTTTTCACTATTATAAAGATAATCCATCTTCACATATATATTTTTTTATTCTTCTGTTACATTGTTTTCTTAGGAAAATTTTCAGAAGCAGAATTACTGGGTCAAGGAATATAAAGATTTTAAAACTATCAACAACTTTTTTCTATTCTCCCTTGGAGGACTTGTCTACTCCCTTCCTTTATATTTAGCTTTTCTATTAAAAAAAGAAAAGTGGGGTGCTTACAAAGCAGAAAACCTTGTTTTCTGGGGTAAAAAAAGAAAAGTGGGCTCCTCCACTTCTTGATGACCTGCCCAGCCTACAGCCTGATAGATAGTAAATGCTTAATAAATATTTCTTTCATGACGATTAAATATATTTAGAGTATCTGATCTAATAGCCCATCTAAGAAAAATGACTAGTTCTGTCTTTTTTTTTTTTTTAA